TAAAATTTAAATCAGATATGTTTGGTATATATTTAATTGATTAATGTAAATAATCAAACATATGATATTAAGTAATTAATTAAATGGTTCTACCTAGACTTGTTTATAGTAGATTAAAAAATGACTCTATTTTAATAGAGTAGATTTTAGAAATTGAATAGACAATGACGAAAAATAATAGATAATGACAATATTTAGGGATACTCAGTAAAAATTTACAATCATCTTCAATTAAAATCTTATATAATCTACAAAACTCTAACAAAATTTCAAAAGTTATCTATACTTATTTTTATATTTTAATTTTTAAAATCACTAAAACTCATTTCAAATCACAAACCAATAACGCCCCCTAAGAAAATGACATGGAGGATTTGCTTACGTAGATAGATTTGTGAGATTAATTTAATTATCATAGATAGATGGTATAGCTGAGAACTCTTTTTTTTGTCAACGTTTTCATTTATTAAATTAAGATAATCATTTTACATCAACTTCATTGATACATGATCTAGAAACATAAGAAAAGGAAAAAGCATTTGTGTTTTGAAAGATCTACAATGTCACAGAGGTGATCACTGTGTTACTGACTGTCTTGATGGTTGTTGCAGTTTTCCAGTAATCCAACTCATCTACCATTGGCTTGCAATCACTGAGAAAAGTATTTGTTTGTACACAAGCCTCCTGATCTGTTGCACTGCCATTAACAGTGAGGTTCCGCTTCCACTAAGAGCAACTACATTGAGGGATTATAGGGGGTTCATTAGGGGGGTTCATGGGCTTTTGGGTTTAAAATTAAATCAGAAATTGGACAATTATAGTGGATCGGTTCTCTCGGCTGAACCCGCGTGAGACGGGTTCATTACACGTGTCATGCCCGGGTTGGATGTGCGTTTGAGGCGGAAAGTAAACTTCACGCGTGTTTCTTTCATTTTCGCGAAACAGAAAAAAAATTAGGGTTCCACTTCTCTGTGAGGCGATTTCGAGTGCGACGGAGACGAAGAGGCGATTCCGGCTTCAATCGACGACGCTGCGTCTACGAATCAAGGTTAGGGTTATCTCTCCTTGATTAACGGTTAGGGTTCCTCTTTTTTTCAATCGAAATCAGATTTAGGGTTACAAAATCTGAAATCGATTTGGGGCTTTTGAAATAGGGTTGTAAATCGAGAAAGGGGTTTTGATATAGTGTTCGAAATCTTCTTGGGGGTTCGATTTATGGTTCGTTTATAGGTTAGGGTTCCTCTTTTTTTCAATCGAAATCAGATTTAGGGTTTCGAAATCTGAAATCGATTTGGGGCTTTTGAGATAGGGTTGTAAATCGAGAAAGGGGTAGAGATATAGTGTTCGAAATCTTCTTGGGGGTTCGATTTATGGTTCGTTTATAGGTGGTTCCTATATAGGTNGGTTCGTTTATAGGTTAGGGTTCCTCTTTTTTTCAATCGAAATCAGATTTAGGGTTTCGAAATCTGAAATCGATTTGGGGCTTTTGAGATAGGGTTGTAAATCGAGAAAGGGGTAGAGATATAGTGTTCGAAATCTTCTTGGGGGTTCGATTTATGGTTCGTTTATAGGTGGTTCCTATATAGGTTTGGAGTTGTGGTTCTAACATGTGTTTCTTTCTTTTGCAGATGGATCCCACAGAGCAAAAGAGAGATTCTAAGAAGCAAAAGCAACACATCGAAATGGTTGGCTTTGTGGCCGATTCGGAATATGGAATTCCGAAAAGGTGTGCATGCGGGGGTCGAATCATCAACGAGGTCGGGGGTAAGGATGACTTCGACACAGTACCTGGGAAGAGGTTCTTCACATGCCTAAACTACGAGGTGAGTGTATGTTCGATTTGTTCTATTTAAGTTTCCATGTTTAAATTTATTTACTTCAACTAACACTCTCTGTTTGTTGTTTTTGTTGAGCACCAGGATGATGGCTTACACTATCGACAACCATGGGTGTTTGGTGTCAAGGAGGAGCTTGAGAAGTTGACAAAGCGAGTGGAGGAGGCTGAGAAGGTTATCAATGTGGTCTCTACCATCAACGATCAGATTTTCTTCTTGGAGGTTAGTTTAATTTCTTTGCTTCTTATGTATTTGACTTAGTGTTGTTTATGTATACTTAACATCTAGATATCGTTTATGTGTTTGTAACACTAATTATCGTTTATGTGTTTGCTTGGCCAGGAACAAGTTAAAAACCTCCAAGAACAGGTTGATTACATGGCGGTACGGATCGCTGACCTAGAGAGGATGTGCTTCGATTAAAAACACAAGGTAAAATTCAAAACAAAACTTAAGTTATTTGTTGTTTGTTAAAATTTAAAAATAAATTGTTGTACTTGTGATTAGTAAAGTAGGACTGTCATTGAATGTTGTACTTGTTAAAATACCAATTAAGTTCTGAACTAGTTCTCTAGTTCAGAAGAAAACAAAAAGCTAACCTTGAAACAAAACTGGAGTTCGTTGTTTGTTAAACTAGAAGAAAAGAAAAGCTAAACTAAAACAAAACTAGTATTCAAAGCTGAACTAGTTCTCTAGTTCTGATTACAAAAGTAAACTTAATTTGAAATATTAATATTTTTTTAATTATTGGTTTTCAGTTTGGTTGTTGTCTGTGATAAATGGTTGCTTTTAAAATCACACTGATTTGATTGGTAACCAATTCTAGCTGAGAAATTGTGGTTGTGCAATTAAGTGTAATGAATGTTTTACAAAACTTAAGTTTGTGTTTAAAACCAAGACGAATCCTCTAAAAACCAAATCACTAAAAACACCAACTAAAACATGGATCCTTTTTCCTTAAACTCCCACGGCTTTGTTAACTTACTGTGCTCACAGAGCAGTCCACCAATAGACGTGGACTGTGGTGAAGTAGGTAGTAATTCCCCGGGGCTAGTTAAGCCACTGCAGAAGAGAAAGTGGTCAATCAAATATAAGTTAGCAATTAGGTTCTAGAATCTCACAAAGATCTTAAGCCAATAAGAGAAATGTTATTTTAATTTTAAACGGAGCTAAAATCTTTATTTCCAATTGATTTATCTTTACGTATATATCACTTACAATAGTTTGTAAGTTTTCATTTGTGACCAAATTAATTAATGGGAGAAAGAAAGTCAATATGAAACGCATANTATAAGTTAGCAATTAGGTTCTAGAATCTCACAAAGATCTTAAGCCAATAAGAGAAATGTTATTTTAATTTTAAACGGAGCTAAAATCTTTATTTCCAATTGATTTATCTTTACGTATATATCACTTACAATAGTTTGTAAGTTTTCATTTGTGACCAAATTAATTAATGGGAGAAAGAAAGTCAATATGAAACGCATACCTACAAATTATAGTAGTTTAGGGAAAAATCACATATCCCGTTTCAACATTAGAAACCGGTGCGACACATGCTAATACTACAACCAAACGATGAAATTGTTGCAATTTTATTGTCTCCGATAACTATTTTGAATTTGAAAAGGACACAAAAAATTATTTTAACTTTCACGTCAAGTAAATATGCCGGATCACAAGTTAATAGTGATGAACCTTCATACATATAAACAATGTATTTAAATATACCCACGAACTTCACAATGCATTTTTCAACTAAACCAAACGCAATATCATGCTAAAAACAGAATAAAAAACAAACATAAACACTAACCAATTAAATTTTCCAATAAACATCTAGAAAATATGGACAAAATATTAAAATCCGCGCGAAGCGCGGATCGACCACTAGTTAATTATAAAGTTGCTAAATGATTCATAGGTTTTTCTCGAGCATTATATATAACTTGATCACTATGATATTGCATACTCTTTTTTTTTAGTTAGTTGCAAATAATAATTAGGGTGAATTTGTTGAAAATCCTATAAGAACTACATACAGTAATTAGCTAAATACACAAACCAAATAATTGTGGGGATAAGATTTAATTGTCAATTACCAAACTAACCTCACCAAATAATCCTTTGTCCTCTCTCTCTCTCTCTTTTCACTAAAACACTAAACCCTAAACTCTAATCCTAAACCCTAAATCCTTGGGTAAATCATAAACATTAAATCCTAAACTCTAATCCTAAACCCTAAATCTTTGGGTAAATCATAAACATTAAACCCTAAACTCTAATCCTAAACCATAAACCATTGGGTAAATCATAAATACTAAACCCTAGACCCTTGGGTAAATCATAAACACTAAACCCTAAACTCTAATCATAAAACCTAAACCCTTGGGTAAATCATAAACACTAAACCCTAAACTCTAATCCTAAACCCTAAACCCTTGGGTAAATCATAAACACTAAATTTTTATAGATTTATCCAAAGGTTTGTGATTTACCTAAGATTAGACTTTAGAGTTTAATGTTAAAATATTTTTTTTAAATAATTATTTTTCGTTTTTCTTAATTATTATTATTTATTATTTTTGTTGATGGATAACAGAATTGGAAAAAAAGAAACAAGAGAATAAGTAATCGATACAAACAAAGTTCATTTGGTGTAGGGGTACAATAGTAATCATAGCATGTGGGAGTATAACTACAAGACAAAAACAGGGTATTGAACTAATATGTCAATCTTTCTTGTGTACACTGCAAATACTCTAATAATTAATTGACTAAAATATTATAGTGATGTTAGAACATGCCTCGTCATGTTTTTTTCAGATTGCAAACGACGTGCGTCACAACGTTGAAAACTTCATCTCTAGCAAAATAAGTCACTATGATCTTTGAATCAATTCAAATTGTCTTAGAAAAGAAAATGAACATTCACATGATTGTGACCTTATGATTTGATATATCCAGCTCAGCCATTACAAAATTCACAATAATATGATCGTTCCTACAACGTTCAATAGTGCAATGCCTTTTGTTAACAACACTTTCAATGATTATTTGGTATATATTATTAAAAATACACAAGATTAAGAATTATTAAACAATAAACAAGATTAAAATGCTATTATGTAAGTGCTAGACCAATGGTGCGTCCAAGGTTGTTGTATTAGACCGCATTGATTTCCAAAAGTCAATGGATCCGGATCGAACTCAAAAGACGTGCATGGTGAGAGTCCAGGACTTACAAAACGCAACTTCATAGTTTCTTTTTAGATACAAAAATCAAATTATATGCATCAAAAACCAAAACAAGAACACTTCTTTCTCTCTGTTTTGTTTCAATATGGTTGATCGAACTAAGGAAGTGATTGTACATGTCAGTTCTTCTGTCGGAAATATTTTCCAACCAGACAACGCTTTGACCCCAGAACCTAGGAGACCGACGACACACTTGTCAGCTCCTGCACCGGAGAAGAAACTGACTCTTTTTGCGTTACGACTCGCTATTCTTGAAAAGGTTGTATTATTATTACAAATATTCTTCTTTCTTGTTTTTGTAATTTATGATTCATTTTTTTGGAGTTTTTAATGTGTTTTTTTTATCAACTTGTGACGACGACCACAGATTGCTTCATGGTTGGGATCTTTAGGTTTCGTGTGGGCCACGGTTGTTCTTCTTGGTGGATTCGCTGCAAGTTTAGCGATAACAGATTTTTGGTTCGTCACTGTGATTCTTGTTGTCGAAGGAGCTCGGATCTTCAGCAGAAGCCATGAGCTTGAAATGCAGCACCAGTCTAAATACACAATCTCTGGAATCAACAGCTTCAGGTTACTTGTCAGACACGTAATCAAAATATTCCACCAGAAAGCTCAAACTCCTGGAAACAACGAGAGACCACCGCTTCACGAAGAAACGAGGCAGATCGAGCGCACTAGGACATGGAGAAGCACAGATGTTCCAATGCTGCCNATGAGCTTGAAATGCAGCACCAGTCTAAATACACAATCTCTGGAATCAACAGCTTCAGGTTACTTGTCAGACACGTAATCAAAATATTCCACCAGAAAGCTCAAACTCCTGGAAACAACGAGAGACCACCGCTTCACGAAGAAACGAGGCAGATCGAGCGCACTAGGACATGGAGAAGCACAGATGTTCCAATGCTGCCTTACACAGGTTGGGTCTTTGTATCAAGAAACGTGAGTAGAGTCTTTTATTGGCTCCAGATTGCTTCTGCATTAGCCAGCATTATCATCTCAATGACTAAACTCATCAGGCAAGATTATGGAGGAGATGAATCCAAAAGCAGAACCAATCTCCACTCTGCTTTAACTCTCTTCTACTCTCTCGCCCTCATCGAGGCTCTTCTCTTTCTTGTTGAGAAAGCTTACTGGGAGTGGATGATCAGTGTTTACAAGATTCTCGACAAAGTGAACCAAGAATGCGGTCTCGAGAGATATGGAACTGATTCAGTGAGAAGATTCTTCTACAATGCTTACTCGAGGTGTTTAAATGGGAGCATCTTCGACGGACTCAAGATGGATATGATCGTTTTCGCCATGGAGCTTTTGTTGTCAAATTCTCCTGATGAGCAGCTCACTAGATCAGATATTCTCTATAGATTCTCGATGAACGAACACTATTCGGATGATACTCTTCAGAAGATTGGGACTAACTTAGAGATTATAGAGAGACTGGTTGAGATGTTGAACTGGAGAAACAAGAATCAAGAAGCTATGAGGATGTCATCTGCAGAGATTCTCTCAAGATTAGCTAGCAAGAAGCAAAACTCTCTAAGAGTTGTAAGGATCCCTGGAGCTATTGAGTCAATATCTTCTGTTTTAGACATCACTAGAGATTCGGGTCAAGCCAGTGATGAGATTGGAGAGGACAGTATCAGTCAAACCGATCGATGGACGTTCAACAATCTCGGACTGGTGATTTTGAAAAGGCTAGCTAGAGATCATGATAACTGTGTGAAGATTTGGAAAACTAAAGGGTTGCTTTCAAAGATCATTGACTTCACATATGCTGAGAAGAGGTTGCTGAAAGATCCAAATCTCGAGGCTGCAGAGTCTAATAAGATCTTGGCTGTGAAACGTTCTCTGAAGCTGTTGAGGAGGCTGGTGGAAACGACGGGTGCAACGGGGAAAAACTTGAGGAGAGATGTCTCTGGGATTGTATTCACAGTAAGCAACATTAGGGAAACATTGCTACATGGAAAGAAGCAGCCTGGTTTGCAGAAGCTTGGTGCGGAGATCCTGACTTTCCTTGCGCTTGATGAAGGTGCAACTGAGAAAATCGGCGGCACGGGCGGGGTTTTAAATGGACTTCTCTGCATCTTCTTGAATGACGATGTTCCAGAGAATCAGACTAGTGGTGTGAGAGAATCTGTTGGTAAGACTATAGCAATGCTAGCTCAAGGAAGTCAAAGCAATTGCCAACGGATGTTGAGATCAGACGACGTCCTTCAGCGCCTCGTTGAGGCGCTGAAGAACCCGTTGATTCGGTCGAATGCAGCGAGAATCTTGCGGAATCTATGTGCATATACAGATCCTGATAAAGCTAAGGAACAGCTGAAGGAAGTTAAATCTGCAGGAGCAACTGTAAGTCTTTGATGTTCTTTGATCCAAAAATTGATTAGATATAGTGAACTAGAGGTCATAAGCTCAACTTGAAAGGATTATTGGCCATTGTGTCAAAGGTTTCCAGTTTGAGTTTCACTGTGACGAAACTAATATTATAGTTTTGGACCTGGAGGAATTATGGGCTTTGATCCCGAACCTCCGAGTATTATATTTAAATTAGATCAAATGCATCACCATCACTAAATGTCATGTTCTAAAAATCGATTTAACGCATCACTAAATATCAATGTTCTAAAAATTGGTTAAGCGGTGTCTAGGCGTTCACATAGTCGGCAAATCGGATATGAAGGAAACACTTTTTCAAACTTTTTTTTTTTAAATCGGTCTAGGCGTTTAAAAAATCAATCTAGATGTCCGACTATCCAATAATTCTCTATAAAACGCCTAATCACTGCCTAGCGATTTTTAGAACATTGCTAAATTTTATCTTGTCACTACAGGTTCTTAAGGCAATAAAGTCTGAACATGACAAACTTCAAGAAATTATGGTGGGATTAGCACCGCACATTTTCAGGCTAATGAGTCCTGAAGAATCAAATGAAATGTTCAAGGAAGCGGCAGTAAGCAAAGAAGAACTAGCAGAAGTATTAGTCAACCTTCTCAAGAGATATGAACAGCCAATGCCAAAAGTTCCGAGAATCAGGAGGTTTGCAATAGAGCTAACCATTCAGATGATGAAAACTGATCCTAAGACGGTCAAGACTTTCCAAGACACTAAGATGAAGAAAGAGTTAGAGGCAGTTTTTGAGACTGCAGCTGAGGTTGAGAACTTTGATACATTCTCAGGCACAGTTGGCTTGGCACGCCATGGCTTAACGATCAATGAACTCATTGAAGAAGCAATTCTGTTATTGAGTTAGACGAAACCCTCACAGCCGCTGGGAACAAAAGTTTAAACAACATTGACTTTGTCGCAAGCCCACATTGTCCTCGCTTATCATAGTGTTTCTTTAACATGGGAATCAAGTGGCCTATATTCTTATTATGTTCGTTCTCCACAGTAGTTGCTCTGTTTTCCTATACATGTGAGCAAAATAAGTAAAATGATTGCATTTATATATTTATAGAAATGATTTTTCCTCTTGACAGAAAATTTCTTTGCCAAGACTTTTTTTCTCTTGACATTGATTTTCTTTTGCCAAGAACAGCAATATACACCCATAACGAGAATAATTTTGGATGTTTATAGGAGAATAAACATTAGTGTTGACATAACATGAACAGAAACTTGAGCAAGTGGTAGATAAAACATATAAACATAAAAATCAAAAACAAAGTAGAGAATGGTATATAAAAGGCTACAGTTTTTTTTCTGGTTTAAAACCAAGCTTCAAGTCTTTTTTTAATGCACTGAATTATAACGTAAAATTTTAGAAAATGAATAGACAATGACGAAAAATAATACTAGATAATGACAATATTTAGGGATACTCAGTAAAAATTTACAATTATCTTCAATTAAAATCTTCTATAATCTACAAAACTTTAACAAAATTTCAAAAGTTATCTAAACTTATTTTTCTATTTTAATTTTTAAAATCACAAACCAATAACACCCCTTAAGAATAGGACATGGAGGATTTGCTTACGTAGATAGATTTGTGAGATTGATCTAATTATCATAGATAGATGGTATAGCTGAGAACTCTCTTTTTATTTTGTCAACGTTTTCATTTATTAATTAAGATAATCATTTTACATCAACTTCATTGATATATGATCTAGAAACATAAGAAAAGGAAAAACCATTTGTGTTTTGAAAGATTTACAATGTCTATACCATAGAGGTGATCTCTGTGTTACAGACTGTCTTGATGGTTGTTGCAGATTTCCAGTAATCCAACTCATCTACCATTGGCTTGCAAAGTTGCAATCACTGAGAAAAGTAATTTGTTTGTACACAAGCCTCCTGATCTATTGCAGTACTGCCATTAACAGTGCGTGAGGTTCCGCTTCCACTACGGAGTTTGTTGGTTTATCGAGGCAGAACCATGGAGTTTTCGGACGCCTTCTTTGATGTATAAAGCCCATCCAATACCTCCTACCTCCTTTGCATTCCTCCAAGAAGTGTCAATTTAGTAAATTGAGTTATGTGAAAGTAAATGTTAACTGGTTTGAAACATGTAATTTTTTTAAATCCAAAAGAATATTTAGATGTAGAAATACGAATTTAACTTCAAATGTAAGATTTGTAAACCAACAAAGTATACCAAAAACATAAAATTTATATAAATTCCTAAAGTACTTAAAATAAGCAAACGAGTAATTTGGGATATCCATAGACCTTCGTGAATCAAAGTTAATCCTTCATAAAAACAGAATTAGAAAGAAGTCATTTTCTAAAACGTTCCTTTTCAAACCGTGATATAAAACTGATGTATAGGCAAGTGTCTCATCCTAATCCTAGTTAGGACTTGATTGGTAGAGACATGACCAAAACATTCACAAAGCGAGGAAGAAGATTCAATTAACGGGCCAAAACCCAAAAGTCATCCACTTGTAATCGAAGGAAGGGGCCCAGACAAAGACGGTCGGTTTATTTCATTGAAGTAAAACTACTCACACAAAATGAGCAAAAGCGACTGATCTCAAACAAAGCCATGTGATTAGTGATTACTCTTATTTCTACCTCACTTTTATTATTTTATCATTTTCATCCTAAGCATTCAATTAATGCACTTGTTGAAAAAAGAAGACAGATAACTACGACGGTACACGGTTTCTTTCTCGAGTAATTACATTAATCAATATGCATTTTAACGCTGCCCAACCAATAACCAATACCATATACTAGCAGTAACCACATTTATTTCGTCCAATACACACCGTCCAACACTGGATACGGGGGCCATCCACATTTATTTCAATGTATCTAATGTTTTAACAAAATTATGCAAAAATCAAAACTTATTTAGCATTTGTGACTATTTATATTCTGCACTGTTATTTTTATTGATTGAATTTGTTTTATTAATGATATTTTAATGTAAAAAAGCATATTAGAGAAAAAACTTGTATTTTTAATTAATGTGCCAAAGCTGTAAAGCATCTCCAATATAATTCATTGTTCCTTAAAAATAGAATAATTTTATATAATGTAGTTGAGTTTACTCTATGTAATAAAGTAGAAATAGAATAATGAACAAAAATAAAAAATATCGTATTTATATAGTAAATACATAATTATTATATGAAGTGAAAAGTAGAATGAGATTAGAACATTTTTATTCTAAATTATATTTTTAATACATTATGGAGTATAGTCGGAGATCCCTTATATATTAAAAGAGAAGCATTTTGCATTAAATGTTTTCACACCACCTTCTCACAATTTATTACCTTATTTATTACCTTCTCACAATTTATTACCTTATTTACTACATTCTCACAATATATTACCTTATTTACTTCAATTATAAAACACACGAGGTACTTTAAAACTACAAAGTTCAATATCGCGTGAGACAAATTCGGAGGCAAGTGAATTGGCTTAAGGGTCGATGTCAAAGTTCTGGAACATCGTTATTTGGGAGGTGGGACGTATCTAAGATGATGGATATGAAGGGCAACGTACCAGAGCCCATGAACGCGATCTTGGTTTGGACATGACTCGTGTGTAGCGTGAAGAGATTGAACTCAACCTTGCTAAGTTTGAGGTAGTTAGTGTACTGAGGGTAGATCTAAATGGTGAAGTGTGTTGTCTTCGAGAGATCCCAAAGCCGTATAGTAGTGGTGTTCTGAAAACTCTATATCTTCACTACGTAGGTTGGTGAGATTGGTTCTGTAGTTTTGAACTTTTGGGCACAAGTTTTTAACGTCGATTTTTGTATCCATAAGAAAGGACATGGACATGAGCTATTGAACAATTTGTCGGCATATATATGTGAAACGTTTAAGGGCTCTTGAGATTGGAAATTTCGTTATACAAGTCGAGAATTTGCTTCTCGAATTGAGCCTTTTCGCAACCCATCTCGAGACTAAAAGGAGATTTGGGATTGTCTCATTACTCATAATGGTGTTGACAGTAATATACTTTCATCTTACGTGTTTCCATGTCGCGTGGATGACAAAAAAAACCAGATATATGAGATAAAATCACAATTTAACCAAAAAAGACAATATTTATAATATAGATATATAATTGGACGATATTAAAACGCGAAACCACCAATCCAAAACAAACTAATATGCAAATAAAACAGATATAATGTCTTCTTATCTTTAAAAATACAACAAATTTAATCATTTTATCCCGCGCAATGCGCGGGTCTAATCCTAGTAATTTTAATAAAATAAAAGCAATGATAAGTACCATTGAACATTCAAGATTTCTATAAGTGTTGCCAAAAAGATAAAGTAAAGCAAACGTCTAAATTATTTAAAGTCCGTGACAGATGAATATAACATTTAATTTTTAGAAAAGCAAAAGAAACATTTTATCCAAATTTAAATAAAATTGGGATTTTATTTGACTTACGTCGTAAAGTCGGTTACAAATACTAAGAAACACCACCGAGCAAAAGAAGAAAAAATAAACAGCCACGAGGAAGCAACAAAAACGTAACAGAGAAGAAGAAGAAGAAGTAGAGAAAAAGAGTATTACAATGAAATCCGATGATAAAAATGAGATGTTAGCATCAGAAGCACCCAAACCTCCAAACGCAGCCATGGAAACGCAATCTACAAACGGCGGTACAAAAGGTAAGAAACGCAACCGCAACCGCAAAATCTGCATCTGCGTCACACTCCTCGTTATCCTCCTCATCTTCATCATCCTCCTCGTCTTAGGCCTCACTCTCTTCAAACCAAAACGCCCCATCACCACCATCGACTCCGTCGCCGTGGATCGTCTCAAAGCCTCCGTCGACGTCCTCAACCTCAAAGTCATCCTAAACCTAACGCTGAACGTCGATCTCTCCTTGAAAAACCCTAACCGCGTCGGCTTCAGCTTCGGCTCCTCGTCGGCGTTGCTCAACTACGGCGGCAAGTTGATCGGAGAGGCGCCGCTTCCGGCGAGTAGGATCGGGGCGGAGAAGACGCTGCCTATGAACTTGACGCTGACGTTGATGGCGGATCGGTTAGTGACCGACACGAGGATTTTCAGTGACTTCATGTCTGGGTCTATACCGGTTAACACTTTTGTTAAAGTGTCTGGGAAAGTAAGTGTTCTGAAGATATTTAAGATTAAAGTTCAGTCTTCTTCTTCGTGTGATATTGTTATCTCTGTTGCGAATCGGAATGTTACGAGTCAGCACTGTAAGTATTCGACTAAGCTGTGATCGTTGTAGTTTGTTGTAGATCTATGATATTTTTTTTTTTTTTTGAAACTGATCTATAATACTTTTTGTCTTCTTGTTGTCTTCATGTCTTGATGGTTTTGTTTTTGAAATCCTTTTGTGTGTATGTGTGTATTAGAACAGAATAAATTAAAAAAGGCATTGCTTTGTTTTTTTGTTTTCATTTTGAAATCTGTTCAGATCTCAGATTGATTCAGCAAAGAAGTAGTAACATGTTGAGTCGGTACAGATCAACGTGTCAACGTAACGTATGCCTATTTTTCAGGCAAGAAAAAGTCAAAAGGAAATGAAATCGTGTTCCAGTTAGGCAGGTACTGTGACGAATTAGTTGGCAGTTCAAATTGCATTCAAAGCACAATTTGAACTTATAATTATACAAATATAAAAGAAAGAAAACTTATAATTTGTTATCATGACCAAGCTAAAGGGTAAACCTTCACGCTGCATGGTTTCTTCAAGAAACACTGAGTTGGTAAATGGAGGATTGTAAGATCACATTGACTTCCCATTCATGGAAGTGGAGTTAAAAGAATGTGAAGTGAACAGTAAACTGTGAATTGTCATAGGATGAATTCTTCTTGTAGATCTTTCTTTCAACTCCGTTTTGACTTATTGCAAGAGTATATAATAATAGATTTAGAACTGATTTTACTTGATTTCTCACTCGAACACTTGTGTCAAATAAGTAAGAATAAATCAAACACCTGCTTGAATGAATTCTAGAATATCTCCCACAAATTCTTTTTTTTTTGTCACGCATCTCCCAGAAATAATAAATCAGAAAAACTTAGGGAAACCATCTCCACACTTGGTGAAATAAACTCTTCATCCTTTCAAACTCTAAATCACACCATAAGAAAGAAACCCCACATTATGTTGGTACTGAAAAGTTTTTGTTGCAATGATGAAACTAAAATCCGAATAATTAATCTATCGGAGTGGCCTTCAAATAGCAACCAGCTATTAAATCAGAACGGCTCCTACATTCTCAAAGCTTGTTCCATCTACTATGACTAAGTCAAAACTCTAACTCTAACAAGACCAACTCATTTACCAAGTCGATTTTGCAGCTCAATAAACACCAAACAAATAAAATCTCATATCTGCATAATAAACAACTTGCTCAACATTACAAAGCAAATAGTCTACCTTTTGAACAAGAACAAAAAGACAACGATAACCTCTTAAACAAGCTCAATATACGCCATAGGAGCATTATCACCTCTCCTCGGAAGAGTCCTAATAATCCTCGTGTACCCTCCATTCCTCTCCCCATACCTATCCGGAACCTCAGCAAACAACGCGTGAACAATCTGCTTCTCGTAGATAAACCCTAACGCTTGTCTCCTCTTATGCAGAGACCCGTCCTTAGCGAGAGTGATCATCTTATCCACAAACTTCCTCATCGCACTAGCTCTGGCTCGAGTCGTCTTGATCCTCCCGTGCTTTAACAGCTGCGTCGTGAGTCCACGGAGGAGAGCTTTCCTCTGGTCTGGTGGTCTGTTCAGCTTCGGGACTCTTCTCCCGTGTCTCATCGCGTACACACGACCGCCACCGTCGATGATCTTGAACCCGTCCTCGAAGCTTTGCCAGCCTGCGATTTTTTGAGAAACGGTTTGGAGATTAAACCGGAGGTTAGAAGAAATTGAACTGGTTTAAATTGGGAGAAGTAATTGAACCGGTTGAAACATAATTGTTTGCTCTATATGTAATCCAGTGTTTGTTTGAATGTAATTTCACATTTAAAAGAATCGGTTTGGAGATTAAACCGGAGGTAGAGGAATTGAACTGGTTTTAAATTGGGAGAAGTAATTGAACCGGTTTAACCCAAATTGTTTTCTCTAATGTAATCCAGTGTTTATTTGAATGTAATTTCACACTAAAACGGTTTGGAGATTGAACCGGTTTAAAATGGGAGAAGTAATTGAACTGGTTGAAACCTAATTGTTCCCTCTATATGTAATCCAGTGTTTGTTTGAATGTAATTTCACATTAAAAAAACGGTTTGGAGATTAAACCGGAAGTAGAGGAAATTGAAACGGTTAAAGTGGGAGGGCGGTTGAACCCTACTTGTTTGCTCTTATGTAATTCAGTGTTTGTTTGAAAATGTAATTTCACATTTAGAAAAACGGTTTGGAGATTAAACCGGAGGTAGAAGGAAACTGAACCGGTTTAAATTGGAAGAATTAATTGAACCGGTTGAACCCTAATTGTTTGCTCTATATGTAATCCTTTGAATGTAATTTCACATTTAATCAACGGTTTGGAGATTAAACCGGAGGTAGAAGGAAACTGAATTGGGAGAAGTAATTGAACGGGTTGAAACCTAATAGTTTGCTATGTAATCCAGTGTTTGTTTGAATGTAATTTCACATTTAAAAACGGTTTGGATATTAAACCGGAGGTAGAAGGAAAACGAACCGGTTTGAATTTGTTTGAATGTAATTTCACATTAAAAACGGTTTGGAGATTAAACCGGGGTAGAGGAAATTGAACCAGTTTTAAATTGGGAGATTTTACCTGGAAGACCGGTTGAGATTAGAGGGTTAACCGGAGATAGACCGGAGAAAGAAGGAAGACGCGGTGATGGAGAAGAGACGAGGACAGGACGCCGAGAAGATGGGGAAGGTAGACGGCAAGTTACAGCGGAGGAGGGAAGAGATGATTTGAGAGATGACATGTTCCAAACTCTGCTCAAGGAATCTGTAGGCGTGGCCATTGCCATTGGGATTGCCATTACAGTGCGGTTCTCTTGTCTGAAACCAAGGGCGCTTGAGAGGATAAGGGATATAGGAAGATGACTGTTTTTATCAGAGAAAGACTTCGAGTGGGCCTTAATGAGCTTTAATAACAGTAGCTCTCTACACAATGTTGCAACTTCTCATGGGCCTTATCTTTTGTTCAGCTAACCCCAATTATCTGACTATACACTGCAAACGGGCTTTTTCGTTTACTTTAATCAAGATTCAGGACGTGTATTTGTTTGTTGTTAAAAGTCATAATGTATAACATTAATGCTGGGATTTTTAAGGATTATAATAATGTTTATATGATAAAATAAAAGTATGTGGTTTGAATCCCAAATATTATTTGTTTAATGAAAAGTAGTAAATGATGTAATAGTTTTCATAATTTATAATAATAATATAAGAAATCAGTGAAAAAGTAATAAACTATTTTGTTTAACATAAAACTACTATAATAAGTATTTTTTGAACAAAAAGGAGTATTTAATTTGATTAAAGATGTCAACAAGGATTTTGCAAAATATGCACGGTTGTATAGAAAGCTACAACCAATGAATCAGAAAGGGCAATAAAGACTTTTTGAGTATGAACTAGGAGAAAGACACTCAGCTTTTTACGCTGAGAACTTTCATATTGAGCCGTGTGATTGTGTTGTGTAGATATGAATTTAAAAAAATTACAAGTGAAAAAGGGAGAAAATGAACGTAAAAAGCGTGGATGGTTTCTCTAGGGCTTCACTGCCATTTCCCAGGCCATGCTATTATAATAAGGACATGGGGGATAGTGTTTGACGTACAAAAGTCTAAAAAACTGTCAGCCAAACAGGTCCAAAACTTAATAAATAATATTTGAAAAAGAAAATTGTTGAAAAAGGGAAAAAGGAGGATGCAGATGAAAGCAAAATGTCAAACACTAGTTTTCAGATTTTATAGGGAACTGGAGTTTGACAGTTGGTGTAATGGACTCGTCACAACATGTGCGTCTCTTTACTTCTTTGTAATTACTGTTTTAGCTTACTACGTCTTGTCCAATTCCCTCGCACATGACATTGCCCGTGGTCCGTGGATATTTTGGAAATTACTACTTGGCTTCTTTTATTTTTAGCTTTCTAATAAAATGGATTTAGCTTCTTCATTAGGCTATTTTTTACTACTACAAACTAGCAACATGGCTATCCAAATACAATCTCAGAACATTCATAAGTTTATATGTAAGTTAGTTGTTACTTCATTTGGCAGCATTTGCAATGAATCTTCATCCTAAGAACATTTCCAATATAAAAAAACTTTTTCTTTTTCAAATTAGAATAAATATATAACGAAATCAAGTTATACTCTATTTTTTTCTTCATTTTGGATTGAGAATTATACAATGAACAAACAAAAAGCTCACCAATTTGATTATAAAGCAAACCAGTTTCTAATCTGTTATGAAGTGAAAATTTAGTAAAATCAGTTAGAAGTTTATTTAAATTTTATTTTGGAATAAGAAATAAAGTGAATTGGAGATGCTAACCATTGGTTAAACACACTATCACTCTTATTTTTCAATCATTTTAATTATCCAGAACAATGTTATCATCTTACAAACTAAAACCTTAAATCTCCTATCTACTTTTCCATTTAGTACTTTAGCTCATACACAAAAAAAACATATTGAATGGTGAACTAATCCAGTTTAGAACTAACCATCCTTTTTGTCTCGGCGTATATTATGATCAATTATGGCGTTGGAAAATCTGGCTGTCGTGTGGAATCTAATGTACCGGTCCCATAGATATGGCGTATATTTTTGATCGTTAGTTTGATTTTGAGTCTTCGACCCCTTGTTGGGTCAAAACATATTCATACTCAACACTCATTTTCAAAAAACATTAAATAATCATTTTTTTGTCGATTATTAGGAAATAATAAGTATTATACATTATATCCCACCGGTTCAATTATACCGATGTTGTAAATGTTATCTTCTTCTTGTTATTTATTTTTGAGAGTGGTGGAGGAAGAAACAAAGATAGATCGGCAAAAGGAAGATGTCAAACACGCAACGACGAACATCTCCGATCATCCCACCTAATCTCTTCCCCCATTTTTTACTATTTTAAAACCCAAAATTTAATTAATAGAGTCAGTGAGTGAGAGAGAGAGAGAAAGAAGTTAATACGCATAGAGGTAGAGAGAGTCATTAAAACCAATGAAGCGACATTCACAATAATTCGAAAAGGAGGAAGACGATTTACATACGGCCAGGCTTGGCTTCCTTTTCTACAAGAATCATCCTTCTCCCAACACACTCCCTTCCAAATAAAACTTACCTTTCTTTTATTATCATCATCATCGGAGTTCGTGACGAAGAACAAGATAAGAAGTCTATTTATAACCATGCAATCTCACGACAAGAACCACCACCATGGCCGAATCCTCCGGTAATTCCGACAGTAACCGTTCTGTTCCTCCAACTTCAGCTATGGTGAGAAAGAGACTAGCTTCCGAGATGTCTTCATCTTCCAACCACCGTCCTCCTCCTCCCCCTCCTCGCCGTGACTCCAACTACATCATCACTTCCCCACCACCACCACAAGAGACACCACCTGTCTCCGTCTGTAACTTCTCCGGTCTACCGGTTTTTCCTTCCGACAACAACAACAGAACATCTATGTCCGTACAACCAACAGAACAACAACAACAAGACTCTTCTTCGTCACCTACGGTTTGGGTTGACGCTATTATCAGAGACTTAATCAACTCCTCAGCTTCTGTCTCTATCCCTCAGCTTATCCAAAACGTTAGAGACATTATCTTCCCTTGTAACCCTAATCTCGGCGCTCTTCTTGAGTATAGACTCCGTTCTCTTATGCTTCTTGATCCTTCTTCTTCCTCCTCTGATCCTCCTCCTCCTCTTGACTACCATCCTCCTCTAACACAACAACAACCACAACAGCCTCCTCCTCCTCCACCTCCTGCTCCGGTGATTCAGCAAGAAAAAGAGAACTCTCCACCTCCACCGCCTGAGACGGTGACAACCACCACGGCGGAGGCGTTAAGAGAGAGAAAAGAAGAGATTAAAAGACAGAAGCAAGACGAAGAAGGTTTACATCTTCTCACTCTCCTCCTACAATGCGCTGAAGCTGTCTCTGCTGATAACCTCGAGGAAGCAAACAAACTCCTCCTCGAGATCTCTCAGCTCTCAACTCCCTACGGAACATCAGCTCAGAGAGTAGCAGCTTACTTCTCAGAAGCAATGTCAGCTCGTTTACTCAACTCCTGTCTCGGCATCTACGCGGCGTTACCGTCGCGTTGGATGCCGCAGACGCACAGTTTAAAGATGGTCTCCGCGTTCCAAGTGTTTAACGGGATAAGCCCTCTAGTAAAATTCTCGCATTTCACGGCAAATCAAGCGATTCAAGAAGCGTTTGAGAAGGAAGATAGTGTCCACATCATTGATTTGGATATCATGCAGGGGCTTCAGTGGCCTGGTTTGTTTCATATACTTGCTTCTAGACCTGGTGGACCTCCTCACGTGCGTCTCACGGGGCTTGGGACTTCTATGGAAGCTCTTCAGGCTACTGGGAAAAGGCTTTCGGATTTTGCTGATAAGCTTGGTTTGCCTTTTGAGTTCTGTCCTTTGGCTGAGAAAGTTGGGAATTTGGATGCTGAGAGACTTAATGTGAGGAAGAGAGAAGCTGTTGCTGTTCATTGGCTTCAGCATTCTCTTTATGATGTTACTGGCTCTGATACACACACTCTCTGGTTACTCCAAAGGTATACAAACACTATAGTACCTTTATCTTTCTTTTAACTATTAGAGTATGATTATTGGTGGTTTTTTATGGGTGGGGTTCTTAGTGGGAACCGATTCTTAAAACTCGGGTTCTTAGCTTTTTTAGTTTTTTAATTAAAAGTTAAGAGACTGTAAGAACCCCACCCCTAAGAAACCTCTAATAATCATGTTCTTAAGTTCAGTGTTATAAAAATCGGCGTAGACGAGTAAATCGATTTTAAAAAATCGGTTTAGGAGTTCGATAATTCGGTATTTGGTCTATGCTTCCGCCTAAACAATAATTTTTTATAAAGGTTTTCTTTTTGAATAATCAAATGTGTCTGATCACCGGCTAGGGATTTCTTGAATATTATTGATATAATTGTTTTAGAAGAGAGAGATGTATAATAAAGTGGCTTTTTGGGTTATGAACAGATTAGCTCCAAAGGTGGTGACAGTAGTGGAACAAGATTTGAGCCATGCTGGCTCTTTCTTAGGAAGATTTGTGGAAGCAATACATTACTACTCGGCACTGTTTGACTCCTTAGGAGCAAGCTACGGAGAAGAGAGCGAGGAGAGACATGTGGTTGAACAGCAGCTACTTTCTAAAGAGATAAGGAATGTATTGGCTGTTGGTGGACCGTCGAGGAGCGGTGAAGTGAAGTTTGAGAGCTGGAGGGAGAAGATGCAGCAATGTGGATTCAAAGGGATATCTTTGGCTGGGAATGCAGCGACACAAGCGACGCTTTTGTTGGGGATGTTTCCATCGGATGGGTATACTTTGGTTGATGATAATGGGACACTTAAGCTTGGATGGAAAGATCTCTCTTTACTTACTGCTTCAGCTTGGACTCCTTGTTCTTAGTTTTTATTAGTTTTTTTCTCTCTTTTGATTCACACAAACAACGCCCATAAATAGAGTCTTTACCACTTTTTTTGTTTATGTAATGAGAAGAGAGGGTTCTTAAGTCATTTGCTTTGTTTCACTTGGAGGAGGATCAGTGGAAGCTGGTAGTGACAGAAAGCACATACAACAAGTCGAACGTTCTGTTGTTGAACTAAGAATGTGAACATGTTACAGTACTATGCTAAATTGGGATCTACACTTTTGGTTATTGGGCTAATTCAAATCTGTGTTTCTTACAACCTTTTATGTCAGTCACTAACATAAAAACACACACAGCACATGTTCAGTGGTACTAGGCTAGGTGTTCGGTTTTCGGGTGTTTACAAATTTTGTTCAGCTCCAGTTTAATTATTTCAATTTTCAGTTTAGGTAGGAAACTTAGGAAACAATTAATATCCATAAAAATTTCGAGTCAAATTTGGTTACGGTTCGGTTTTGGATTTTCAAAATAATTACGATTATCGGTTCGGTTTTGGATTTTCACATCTCAAATTAAAAGAAAACCGAAGTAACCGATCCAACTAAACCGAACTAACCGCACCCGAAGGCGTAATTGGGCCAATTGCATCTTTGTCTTAATTACCGATATAAATAACTTTTTATTTATTTTCAATTGCATTAAAAGAGATTCGCATAAAAACAATAAAACTCTTCGCCTATTTCCATCTCGTCTTCAACATCGTCGACGAAACCTAATCTGATTTTCGAAGTTTGATTTGCAAAAGTCCTTAGCTCAAATCGAACGATTCCTTTTCGATTTCGAGATTCTCCGGCGAATTAATCGTTCTCTCGTCGCTGCGTTTGTGATTTTGTCAGGCTTGTCTTCTCTCTTCTCTGGTTCTCTCGGTTTCTCTATAAATTCTCTGATTCCAAGTCTTTATTACGCTGTTAGCAGACCTAATCGTTATCTTCAATTTCACGGCGTCCTCCTGCTGATTTCAGTTCTCCGTGGATAAGAGACTTGAGCGTGGTATGCTCATATGTTTCCCTATTTGATTCCTATTATCAGACGATATTTTCAGTTTTTCACGGACCTATTTAATTTTTGTTTGTATACCAAAGTTAGTGATTTCATGTCTATCAATCTCTGAGTTTTTTTTTTTTTTTAATTTGGATAAATACTAAAGCCTAAAATTGTTATTTAATTGAACATAGAATGATCTGCGTTCTTATAACGCCTTTTGTTACTACTTCATAGCCAATGCATTTTTTTTTCTGCTTAGTGAGAGTCTGTATTCAGTTAAAAGAAGGTTGCTTTAGCTTAATTTGCCGTCTGGTGTAGAGATATGTATGTTTCTGACGGCCTTGTGAGTCTTTATTTTGTAATAATCAGTTTTGTGGATAAGAATCGTTTAGATTTTTACTGATAATGTGCTCTTACCTGAGGAAGGTGTTATTTACTATAGAAGAGTTCTTTTGTTTGAGGTTTCCAGTTTTAAAGGGAATTGTCCAGTCTTGGGTGTTTTTTTTGGATTATATATGCATTAACGGATACATGTTTGTTTGATGGGTGTGTTTCAGGAAAGGGCTTTGAATAAGTTTTAAACAAAGGTTTGCGTAGTGCATTTGGTTGGAAATGGATCCTGGTCGATTTGGTCGTCAGCAAGATTGGGATAATACCAGTGTAATTTGTGGTTTTCTCAACCTTACATATATGATGGGATGATAAAAAACAAGATTTTTTTTAGTTTTTACGGCCCCCTCATCTGAGGACTCTGAGAGACAGTGGAAAAATGAGGATGTGGATGGGATTTGGCTAACGTAGTATCAGTCATGATGTTTGTTGCTGACATTACTTATTCTCTTCAATTCACAGGCTCCGGAGGGTTATGGTCCTGAGCATGATCCAAACACCCGGTCAGTGATAGTCTAATTTACTCTTTGATGTAGTTCTTATTTCTCATGGGTGAATCAACCACTCATATTAATGCTCAATACTGTTACACTAGTGTGAATTTCGTGTACTATACTTGGTTTCCATGCATTTTATTATAAATTTTTCTTACAGGTTTGGCGGATCATATGATAGGGGATATCCCGATGAAAGGCTGTTACGGGATGATGTCTACAATTATCCACCTGGACATGATATGGGTCATTTGCCTCAGCCTAGGAAGCGGAAATCTGAGGAAAGTTATCCTCGTGAACTTCGTAGGCAAGAAAAGCCTTCCACCGATACAAACTATGATGCTGATTATTATCATGACACTGAAGTTGGGAGTGGTAATGGATACTACCGTGATCAAGGACACGAAAGGTCTTCACGATATGAAGGCCGTGATGACTACTCTTCCAGTGATTATAACTCTCGATCTAGAAACTACCATCATAACAGAGATGATAGCCGTGGAAAAGATTATGATTATGCTCGCCGGAGTTATGATTCTGATTATGAAAGGGGCAGTGTGAGAGATGGCAATAGAAAGAGCAGGGACTCGCAGGATAGAGAACGGCACTCACGTGATAGAGAATGGGGTTCACGTGATAGAGAAGGGGACAATAGATCTTTCAGCCGTGAAAGAGATGTGAGTCCTCATAAGAGATATGAGAAATCGCGATCTGGATCTCCTGGACGTGATAGGTTCTCTAGATCAAGATCTCCTAGAGGTCGGAGCCATGGGCGAGGTTACAGGGAGGACAGCTATGAGGGAGATCACTGGCGTGAAAGTGAGAGGCGAAGAGAGTATGAAGATAGACATGACCAGGATCATTTTTCTGCTGTATATATTATTCTCCCATCGCTGGTTTACATTATTTTCGTGCAAATACATTTTAAAATCCTTTCCTATATTTTAATGGTTTTTGTTAGACCCCATCCGCCACTGTTCTTGTGAAGGGTCTCTCAACGAAATCAACAGAAGAAGATCTATACCAGCTTCTGGTAATCTCTTGTTCATTTTACGAATTCGTATATCCTTATGGTTGAACAACTTTTCTTGCGTGAGTTCATTGTTCCCTTATGCATGACTAGGCTGAATGGGGTCCTCTGCATCATGTCCGTGTGATTCGGGAGCAAAATTCTGGAGTTTCTCGTGGATTTGCATTTATTGATTTCCCCACGGTGGTAATTACTCTAAACTAAGTTGTTAGTTCCTTGTGGCCCTTTCTTGTGTTCTATTTAAGCCAGTGAGTGCAATTATGTATATTTTTCTGTGCAGGATGCCGCACGCACCATGATGAACAGAATTGAGCATGATGGTATAATTGTGGATGGAAGGAAGCTGATTTTTCGTTACAGGTCTTTTATTATTATTTGACTTTGTTTTATATCTGGAACTTGTGGCGGACCATTGGCTCATCATATTCAAACAAAAAAATCCTTGATCTTTTAATATCATACTCTCAGTTAGTTGTATAGCATTCTTTGACTGAATTGCGGTGTGTTGATCAGCACACCGAGGGCTGGTGTACCCCGTAGGCAGGAAAATGCTTCTAGGCGCGGTTATGGTGGCAATATAGTTCCTTCAGATTGGATATGTACAATCTGTGGCTGTATCAATTTTGCGCGGCGAACCTCTTGCTTTCAGGTTGGTGCATTGTTGGGAAGAAAGTTATGTATTTTTCATAGTGAGCGCTTGAGTATAAGTTACATATATCTTTTTAGGAATATAACTTCTTCTTGTGGTTGTTATGAGTTGGTGATGACAATACGAGCAAAGATAGAACTGATAAACCCTCACCAAACTAAATGAAAAAAAAAATATTATCAGCAGAGGTGATAAACACGTATTCTCAATTGGCACTTAATGTTTGGGACTGGGGTGACATACATATGTCAGTACCTCTGCTGATAATATTTTTTTTTTCATTTAGTTTGGTTAGCAGTTCATACATCAAAAGTAAAAAAAAAACGTATATAACAACCCAACTCCTTGAACCGGTATTTGCTAATGGATTCTGTTGCATCTTTCGTTCTACTTGTCTGAACTTAAATTGTTCATTAATTGTTCAGTGTTGTGGTGGTAGTTGTATTCTGTACCCCTTATTTGTCGTGCAGCTGGTCTATGTCTTGATTATTATTAGAACTAAAAAATCTGAGGTGCTGTTATGATATGGCATAAACGTTTTATGGGCATTTTGTAAATCTCTATGATCTCCTTTTTACGCAGTGTAATGAACCAAAGACCGATGATTCTCCTTCAGCTGACGTAGGTTTATCCAACTCAACATTGGGAAAACGCAGTTCTGAATCAGGTTTGTGATAACATTTTGTTTAAGATGTTTCCGTGTTGGGTCCAGAAACAGTCAAAAGTGTTAAAAGGTTATAGTTACTGCATTTCTGTGCATGCCATTTATGCCTAAAAGACAGTGTTCTTATTTTCCTTTTCAGGTCCAACTCATGTCTTAGTTGTACGCGGGTTGGAGGAAGATGCTGACGAGGAAATGATTCGGTATGAATTTTCCAAACATGCTCCTATCAAGGTAGGTAAAAACCTTTAAGATTCATGTTTAATAAGATATGCACTTTTACGTCAGTTGATCTGGTGTCGCTTTCGTCATTTTGTAGGATCTTCGTCTTGTAAGAGACAAATTCACACATGTTTCAAGAGGATTTGCATTTGTACATTTCTTTTCGGTAAGGTCTCAAAGTCAAATTGGTTACTTCATTGTACTCTTCTTCTTCCGTTTCCCCTTGCTGATGAAGTGAATCTTTTGATCATAGAATTATTAGGTGGTATATAAATTAGCAACCCATTTTAGATTAGTTGCACCTGTTTTTGTTTGTGAGCTTTAGCTGACGGAGTATAATGAACCAAAGACCAATGATTAGAAGCATAACTGCTTTAATATATTCAAATGTCTATTTTGTCCTGTTTATGTAGGTACAGTATTTGACTACTTTTAATTTAGTGAAGTACTTGAAACAGAAAAATTGATTATATTCGTGTAGGTTGAAGATGCTACTAAGGCACTTGAAGCAACAAACGGAACAGTTCTTGACAGGAATGGTAAAATACTGAGAGTCGCATATGCAAAGAGCGTTCATGGTTCTGGAACTGGTACACCAGCATCATCTCACGCCAGCAATCTCGCTGCTGCGGCAATTGAAGCAGCAGCATTTTCTCAACAGGTACTTGAAGATTGTTTTCATACAGTTCCCCTCGTTAGTATTGGTTGGACAGACATTGAGCCTTAGTTAAATACTTCTAACATAATGGTTATGTAATGAAGCAAAGCCAAGCTAGTTTGTGCCAAGTAATCTTCCTTGCATTCAACTCGAATGGGGAATGAAAGCAGTCCGATGGTTATAATAAGTTCGGCAATAATATGAACATTTAGTTTTGTGTGTATTGGCATAATTATTCTTAGCTTATGCCAGTCTGCTGAAACATCCTTACGTATTTCATCCTTGTAGTTTTCACTGGAGTTTGTCACTCAAGTGCAGAATACGCTATTATGTTTTATTAACCAGAGGAAAAACAAAAGTTCTGCCTGAATGTTAATACGTTGTTTGGACATAAATATATTTCTAATTAGGCTGAGTTTCATTTAATTCTTGGATTTTTTTTTTCCAAAGGTTGTCATGCTTATGATATTTGTGCTCTCTGTGAATGCTCATTCCTCATTATCTTTATTAGTATGACGGTGCGGGATGGACTCCAAAGGAATATAATCATGATGAGAAACAAACTGGAGGGCAGGCCCGGGGCATTGGGGAAATGGCTTCTGCTCCACAATCTGGCTACGTGTGGGATGAAGCATCTGGTTATTACTATGATGCTGCTTCTGGATATTACTACGATGGAAATTCAGGTTTGCATTTACTTATATGTCTCTCTATCTGTTAAGTGTATTCTTTTGCAAGATAGTATCATTGCAAATTAGTCTTCACCTGAAATAAACAGTGTTGCCATTTTGGCTGTTGTGTAACATACGTTTACATGATACTCTGTAGCTCTTTGATTTTGAATGCACTAAAACGGTAACGTGAAGATATAAAATTTGTCTTTAAGTAGACTTTAAAGTATGGCCGCAGTATTATTTAAAGTTTGTCACCTTTTAAATATTGCAGAGTTAGACCTTCTTATCTATGCGCCTGGAAAATTTGCATCTGATAGATCTGTTAATGTTTTTGGTTTTGGTGTGTGTGTGGTGGTGTAATAAGAGGGTATATTACTATTAACCATATGCTTTCTAAATATGCAGGTCTTTATTATGACAGTAATAGTGGGCTTTGGTACTCATATGACCCTCAAACGCAGCAATATGTTCCTTGTCCTGATCAGAACAATGATAGTAAATCAACTGAAAAACAGCCAGAGTCTGCCAAGACGGAGAAATCCACTCAACAAAAGGTTATTATCTCTGCAGCTGCTACCCCCACTGTAGAAAAGGCTATCTCCTTACCAGACGCAGTTCAGGCTGCAGCAGCAGCAGCAATTGCATCGGAGAAGAGAGAAAAAGAAAGAGTGAAGGAAATAAAACTTGCATCAAAGAGTAGCATACTGGCTACCAAGAAAAAAATGAACAATACTTTAACAATGTGGAAGCAGCGGACCAGTGAAACACAAACACAACGTCCCTCACTTGGTGGTGAAAATCCACCGACCGTTTTGGCTGAAGCAAGACCGTCTTTCTCCACTGTACAATCCAAGAGCAAGCTGACATCTGAGACAGTGATTGCAAAGGAGAGAACTACTTCCAATCATGGTGTTGCTACACCCTCAACAACTCCCATTACAGAAAGTTCGAGTAGCAGTAAAGCAGGACCACCTTTGATGGGGGTGATGAGAGGTTCTTACGGAGGAGCTTCTTCCTCAGCTAATGTACAAGTGCCTCCGGTTTTGCCTTCTGCTCCTTCCCCCTCTGTTCCGGTTTCGGCTTATGGGAGTGGGAGAAGAAGGTTCTCTGAAAAGCCGACTGCAGCGCCTACTCACAGAGACCAGCCTCAGACATCATACAGGGACCGTGCTGCAGAAAGAAGAAACTTATACGGTTCATCAGCTCCAAGTGAAAATGATGTTATCGACTCAAGTAAGCGTCCTTAGGTCTTCTCTCTTTTCACATATATAAAAACTGGTAATGAGAAGTTATATTAGAATAAACTTAACGAGAAAAATGGTGTTTGAGTGAAGGTGAAGATATTATGAGAAAAGGTGCATCAGATCCAACACCCTTTCCTCCTGGTGTGGGCGTACGTGGAACTACCACGACCGAAGTCAGTGATTACGATGTAATCACAGAGGAGAAAGCAATAGACGAAAGTAACGTGGGAAACAGAATGTTGAGGAACATGGGTTGGCATGAAGGATCGGTAAATCATTTATCTGTTTTCCATCAGTAAACATTATATGGTTATGTTAAAAGAAAAAGAGAGTGGTGATGGTTGTTTTTGTTTGGTAACTTTCAGGGTTTAGGGAGAGACGGGAGTGGAATGAAAGAGCCGGTGCAAGCACAAGGCGTTGATAGGAGAGCAGGACTTGGGAGTCACCAGAAGAAGCTTGATCCTGAGTTTGAGGCTCAGCCTGGTGATACCTACAGAACTGTTCTCCATAAGAAAGCTCTTGCGAGGTTTCGTGAAATGTCTGACAATAATAATTGACTGTTGAGATTTGAGAGAATGGTTGTGTTTGTAAACTGGAGTTGGAGTTTCTGTGCGTTGGTTGTGTTTAAACTGGAAAGTGATTTTAGTTTTGCTCTCTAGACACTATTGAACTAAGTAATCATAAATTATTTGGGATTATGCTTTACATTTGCATACAATTGGAGCAGATATAAATTAGTAACTTTCACATGCACATATCATGTTTGAATTTTAATTGTAAAAGGACACTAGCATATCAATTACAAACTACTAGTAAGCTTCTTACCTCGGTTAAAATTATATGCAGGGGCCAACCTAAAACCATATAACGTATATATCACATAAAATGCTTTTAACTGTAGTTACATCTAAGAACTTAATTGAAATTATTGTTCTATAAAATATTTGTACAATGCATATTCAACTAAAATCGATAATAGTTAGCGATTAACAAAAGAAAATTACCATGTATCAAACACAATAAGACAGAGAAAACATGTATCTCAGCTACAATTCTTAACTGAAAATGAAAAACAATCAAAATATTTACAGAACTGAAAGGGGTTCTAGCTGGTCAGTTTGCAGAATATTTACATAACTGGTCAGTTTGTAGAGGAGTTCGGAGCGGTCTTAATGCCTAAAGAATGGCCTGCGTTCTCATTCCAGAGAGAGGAGATTAGAAGAGGATTACAGAACCTTGCAGAGGTGAAGCTGGTGGTAGTAAAAAAGGAGACTAATAAAGGGGTCTCTTTCATTTCTCAAAGTGTGACAATACAAGAAAGAACACAGTCGTATGTTGCGACGAGCCACTCGGCTTGGATATTGAGTTCTTTGTCAATGAAAGCGGATACCTCTATGGGTGTCTCTCTCGCCTCTTGTAATGGTGTTGAAGGTAGAGTGAGTGAGATGAGGTACCAAGGAGTTTTCGTTTTGTTGGGATCTAAGTTGTCCCAATTATGTTGGTTGTGGTAGTAGATTTATTATTATTAATTTATTTTGCATCAATTCAGCAAAATGATATGTTTTTGGTACTTTGTATCACTTTACCAAAAATGATACTCTCTCTGTTTCAAATTATTCTATATTTTAGATTTTTTTTTTTTGTATCAAAATGATTCATTTTTCTACATTTACAATACATCAATTAATGGTGAATTGTAAATTTCAAAGTGTTTATTAATATTCAATTGGTTAAAAGTTATAGGGAACAATTGATTACAAAAAATAATGTATTGGTAATGAAAATTTTATAAATTTTCTTCATATATGTAAAAATGTTAAAACATTTAACATTTTGAAACAAAATGAGTACTATGATAAAATGTTAGATCAGTTAATTAAATGATCTATTCATTGTTGTTTGTTGACATCATTTATTAAAAGATACATAATTTGCTTCAATAAAAAATTGATGCTAACTTAAGTTATACTTTCTATGTTTTAATAAGATAGATATTTTAGAATTATCAAATATATTAAGAAAAGTTCTTAAATTTTGATTATAAATGCATTATTTTTTTGTGTTTAACTATTTCACATGAGTGATAACCAATCAAAATTCATTAAAAACAATTAATTTTCTTGAAATTTACTATTTATCACTAATACATGCATTAAAAATGTAAAAAAATGATCCTTTTGAAACAAAAAAATTCTACAAAATGGATCATTTTGAAACAGAGGGAATACTAGAGTTTGATCCGCGCGACAGAACATAGATTTAATTTAATTTTTAATTTTTGGTTTGTACTAAAGATGTATTTGAAATTTTTTAACATCTCTAAGCAATAAAAAACTCTTGTTTGCTACTTCATGGGCTTTGCTTCTTCCCTTGGATGAAGTTGAACCGATACAAAGGGCAGTTAGAAGCTACAATCGCTTCACAGCTGCAGAAAACAAAGCCATTGAGGAAGTGTATAAGATACACGACCCTGAATGGACCTTGATCATGAGAGATTTCAGCCTCGAACTTGAAAACATGACCAAACAAGACATCATGGATCGTTATAGGAATATGGTAAAGAAGTATGCTGCTACCACCGTTGGAGGGACTGACCACCCGACGTGGATCACATGTGTCAAGGAAAGATTTAGTAAGTGACTTTGATTTTTTTTATTTGATTTAGTAAGTGACTTTGATTTAGTAAGTGTCAACGAAAGATTTAGTAGTTAAATATTATTAACATGTCGCATGGCCTGTTTTTTCTTTACAGAAAACAACCAGAGTTATCTTCCATCATGACGCTTCCCTGGTGGCTCCTATCACGATGAACTTCACGTCAGTTGAAAAATACGTGGATGTTGTGAAATCTCTTGTTAGATCCAAGGTAAATCTATTAAAACAAACAATGATTTTATGTTTTTACTTGTTCTCATGAGATTATGAATCTTATCATCAGGTTAAGCTTTTGAAAGAGGGCACAGAGCTTCGTTTACTTCATGTGTTTAAGTTGAAGATCTAAAAATCGTTACAACTTTGGAATAGTTGGAGGATATGTCTTGGGTTCGTGTTGAAGAATGTCTTGAAGTTGAAGTGAACACTGGTGGCACTGAGATGGCGATCTTTGGCTACCATTGTGAGCTTGCAAAAAGCGGGAATACGGTATTACTTACTTATTTGTTCTTTTAACATGGAAATTGTTGTAAACAAACGAAGAGAAGGCTGTTGAGTCAAATCTATTTGTGAACTGTTTGTGCAGATAGAGAAGAAGTTTGAGAGCAAGTATGGTGTCTCCGGCGAAGATATCTCGAAGGTTTCTCTCTATTTTCTTCTTCTTTTTTTCTTGGTTGTATTTTTCTCAAAAAAAAACTTATACTCATGTGTGTAGTGGAAGTTTGTGTGCGTTTGTGTGTTACCTCATTGACTCAGAAATCCTTCATTCATTTTGGAAGGTAAGAGTTAAATGATTTATATAGTTTATATAAATCTGATTATATAAATTTGACTGATTGTGAAATTTTGGTGAGGAACAGCCAAGAGCCAAGTTGAGAGTGGAGCATCTTAACTTCTAGTTTAATTTTTCATTTTCTGAACCTTTTTATTCGTTATGAAATCTTTGTAATTGGGTACGTTGACTTGAGTTTTTGATGCAGATGCATCAACATTTTTGGCGCCAAACTAACCCATTTGAATGTTCCTCTTTTGTTTTGGTTTTCTTAGTCTTTCCTTTTTAAGATTGATTTCTGTTTTACAATTAGTTTTATAAGTTCCTCCTCCTATTAAGATTTGTCTAAAGGAGAGGCTATATAATAAGGTCGATACCTTGATGTTGTGTTCATGTTTGGTTTAATAAAAAGAGCTTTTGCTTTATACCTTATTTCAATTCGATTCAATTTATCCAAATAAGAAGCTTGTCTCAAAAAGCTATCGTAAAAAACTCTTGATCGATCTAAGAACATGTCTCTAAGAATCCTAAAATTCTCGGATCGACCATTCACCCATTCTTGAGACCAACTTCTATGTGATGTAATTATCTTATTATTATTTTCTATGTGCTTGGATTAGTTAGCTTTTGTTGTGAAGCATTCAGTAATTGAAAAAGAGCTTTTGGGGGTTATTGGTTCTGATATTTGATTAGATTTAGAAATTTAGCTTGGATTTAGAAATAATTGACAAATATGTTAATTTTAAAATCAAACAAACAAATTTCAAAATTAACTACATAGCTTTCAAAATAAAAATAACTAGATTGCTATAAATCGATGAAATGGATTTGGAGTTGGAAATTTCATTGCGTAATCATTTACTATTTCATCTACCTGCGACATATATATTTTCATCTTCTAAAGTTTTATTTTAATGTGTAAAATTATTAATTCATGTTTGATATTGTATACATTTGACAGAAGAAAAAGAACCTATCAAAACAAGCACAAACACATTGCTAAGTTTGACCGAATAGAAATTTCTTGCTTCATTTGATGGCATTTCTTCATGATTTGTGCTTCTTGCTTATGTTTTGATTCACAATAATATTATAACTACTTCGGTATGTTTGGATGCAAGATACGTTTTGTTTGTACGGTTACTATCAAATTAAGGTTTATATCAACTACGATTATTAGGATACACAAAAATACAAGAAACAGTAAAAACCACAATAATGCAAATCCAATAAAAATAAGAAGGCCTAACTCAATATTTGTTCTCTTGTATTTTACTCTTAAAGATATTTACAAATCCACTCAAATTTAAATCAAAATCAAATCCCTAAATCAATACCATTAAAAGGGAACATTCTTTTTAATGAGTTTTTTACGTTTTCCAAAATTTCCCTTAATGATATGAACAAATTTTTATTTTCATTAATGACAATATAGTCTTTTCTTTTTTGAGCCTAAAAAACTATATAATTTGTACAAACATTATCTATCTAATGGATTGCTTAATAGGCTAATCTCTTTCAAAATATTTTTGAATATTCTTGCAAGAATAATGTCCATCAACCTATACACGATTTTTGCGAGTTTCTTAAAACCAAACCGGGTTACATATAAAGTCCTCAGTTTTGTCTTTTAACAACCGGTCCAGATTATGTTTCAGAATACTGAATATAACGTTTTATGTGTAACATGTAAATGTTGATACATAATTAAAAATACAAATTTATATCATATAGATTTGGTTTGTTTCAAAAATATTCCTGTATTTTGAACCAGTAGCCGAATCTCAGGTTTTAGCGGAAATTTTGGAGGTTTATAGAATTTTAAATAATGAGTTTAAAAAAAAACTGGGTTACATATAAAGTAATCGGTTTTATCGGTTTAACAACGGGTCTAGGTCGTGTTTCATAACACTGAATATAATACTTCATATGTAATAGTTAAATGTTACATTTAATTGTGAATATGTCTGTGTTGTATATAACTTCTGGAGCTGTAAATATGGCCTCAAAAGTAAAATAACCTCTTGTCATCCAAAACCAACCTAAACCGTATTCTAATCAGGTATTAGATGAGAAACCTCCTTAGGAAAGTTTTCCGTTGAAAGCTGAAATGCGTAAGTACTTGGTTCTCCATTTCGAGGACCTGATCTACGAGGATAGGAACCTACAAGGCAATTAGCATGCAAGTAATGCCAAGGAGTTGAAGGTTCTTGTCTGTCTATGTTGTTTCCATCGATATCAGAGACATATTTATATATAGTTCTCTTGAATACATCTTCTCTTGTTCACTCTTCT